TTGATGGTGATTGAGCAGTAGCTGTTATTGATTCAGCTGCATTTGCAATAAGGATAACAAAAATAACAAGTGGCTCAACAAAAGTTGCTACAAGACTATCTCAGTTTCTATTTCCAGATAAACTATGTCTTCTCATGTCAAGAAAAAGCGTGAAGATTATGATCGAAAATACTATCAAAAATTACAATACAAACGTTTTAAATCGGAATTATTTAATTCAGAATATATTCGAAAACAGAATGCTAGGCAACAAAAATGTAGACGATTAAAGGCGGAAGCACAACAAACATCAATAAATACAACTGAATCAACAACAGCTACTGCTGAAGTACCATCAGATGCAGCTAAATCAATAACAGCTACTGCTCAATCACCATCAATGGTCAGAACAAATTTAAGAAGGACTGAAGGTATTCGTCGTCGTCGAGCTTATACAAGAAAAATGAAAAATGAAAATGAAAAATTATCTAATGAAATCAACGTATTACGTAAACAAAATTTGAAGTTGAAGAAAGCTTTGTCTCAACAACATTCAGAAGATATTGAAAAAGATGATGAGACACCAACTGTGTCACCGACAAAGTTATTTCTTAAAAATGTTAGTCCACGAGCTAAAAAACGTGCAACTAAACGACTAATTGATAAAAAACAACAATTACCACGTGGTTCTGTTTCCAAATTTAGACTAAAATTAGGTATTAATTTGTCGAATGATTACTCTTCTCAATCTGATATATCATCAACTTTACAAAAAGATATTGAGGAATTTCTTTGTCAAGATGATGTTACTAAACAAGCACCTGATAAAAAAAAACATGTAAATGGAAAACAAATTAGATATCTATTAAATCATTTGTCTACTATTCATCAACGTTTTATAATGGAATCTGGTCTTAACTGCCATTATTCAACATTCACACGTTATATTCCTGATCATGTGCTGAAACCAAGTACTGATGATTGGGGTACTTGTTTATGTATTATTTGTTTGAACCCACAGCTCAAACTTGAAAAGTTACAACGTTTGAAATTTTTATATCCAGTTCTTAAGACAATACTTCCTGATGGTTTAGCTGATATAACCGAGTTAGTTACAGATGAAATCAAAACAAAAGAATTTTTAGATAATTTGATTAAACTTAAAGATGAAAAATTTAATATTACATATACTGAATGGACAAAGAAAAAACATTCTAAATCTGATGTACCTGTATCAACAAAAACAACCCTTACAATATCTATTTTTGATTTTACAACGAAATTTTTAAACGAAATCAATGTAAGTGCATAGAGTTTAATCATAAACACTATTTGTCGTATGAGGTGATTTTCACTATTAGATATGTTTTTTGTTGCACGAGTGGAACTTTACAGGGAGGAAAATCATATATGCATTTATTTTATACCAATAAACAATAAATTTTTTATAATGTTTAGAATTTAGTATCACATATTGATCGTGTACGTCAACAATTTCGAGCTGCTAAACAAGCAAAGCAAGCTGCTACGGAACAGGAAGATACAGTCGTAATACATTTAGATTGGTCCGAAAACTTCAAACTGAAACAATCATCTTTTTTCCAGACATAAGCACTTAAAAT